TATTATTTGAACCAAACAACCGTGATTTACTATTTATTTTTGCCCCCCATAATGGCTGATTTTTGCTTCAAAAAATACGCGGAAGTTAGACATCTAGTTATTTTAAATATATATCATTGTGCGATCTGTAAAAATAGTTGAGTGCTTGTAGTTGCACGCTTGTAGTTGCTAGTTATAGTCATTGCTCGCTTCTTAATGTATAATATATAACGAGAGAAAGCTATATCTATATCAATAAATATATATTGTGTTTTGTTGGTGTTCATACCCTCATACAATAATAATAGTACTCGATGTTAGGAGGTGCAATAACTTGAAATAGGGACTAAAAACACAGGGACTAAAAAGTTTCAGTATGTGTTTTATTGTCCTCTACTGGCCATGGAGTTGTTTTAGTACTTTAACTTCTTCGAAACAAGCTTAGACATGGCCCTGACGAGATGAAGGTTTGTCACATGCCACAACTTTCGACCATTATGATGACCTCAACCCCGAACTCCACTTGCGCGGCACCTTTCCCACGATTTATTTACTTTTATATTACAATGATTTTTACTACTAAATTACTTGTAATTGACTATTTTAATTATTTAACTACTAAATTAGTTGTAATTGACTATTTTAATAATTTAATCACTTAAGCCACATACATATCGGACATATGTTATACCTTATACATATCGGACATATGTTACACACTTCCCGACCCCAGCAACAGTGAACCGAATTGTGTCGCTATAACTGTACTGCACTCGCCAAATAGTGCTTACAAAACTAGCCACAAACCTCAAAATCTCTTTTATCTTAAAAACATATGTTGTAAAACATATCTTATAAAGTAATTTTAGCACCTCACTGCTCAATTTTTGTTTGAAATCTAAAAACCACATATTAATTTTTTTTTAAATTTTGAAATACTAAATGAGGCTAAAATTAATTCTTCACTAAAATTAATTCTTCACTAAAGCAATATAAGTTAAAAACGGGGAGTAAATCAAATAGGGATACTAAAAAGGTATTATTTGTATTATAGTAGAATGAATATGTACACCAAATAGGTATTAATTATTAAATAGAAACTTATGGGTAAAACGAATATTTTTACTAAAACAATATTAATTATAAAATATACACTGGGGATAAGACCCAACAACCTATTACTACAGTAAAAAATACGAAATCACAAATTGAAAAAGCAAAATTACATCAAAGGCCTAGAGAGTGAAAGACGTCAAAGTAATAAGAAAGACAAAAAGAAAATTCAGTGAAGGAAAGAGAATAGAACCATAATAACAGACGAGACGAAACAAATAAATAGGAAAGATTACGATAAAAAAGAACATAAAAACACTAAAACTAAATAAGTCGAGACGAAACAAATAAATAGGAAAGATTACGATAAAAAAGAACATAAAAAAACTAAAACTAAATAAGACAGAAAATCAAAGTATTTACGAATATATTGATTCATACAAACAAAATCATTAAATGACGCGCAAAACTTTAACACTTAGAACACTGCAAACAAGAAGTACAATATTTTATACAAACTTACAGAACACTACAACAACACTTACCTAAAATAGAAAACAACACTCATCTAACTGAAACAACTCTAACTTAAACAACACTCACTTAACTCTTACATATTCCCTGAATAATACTCCCCTCCTAAACACCACCTCTCAATACTGAGCAACTGCCCAAGGTTTATAATTTATCTAGCACTCCCTTGCACTTATATAATACATTTCTTCCTTCTCTTAAGATTATTACGGTCGGATAGGTCCATACAAAAATACTTTTTGTAAGTATTTTTGCGCGTACTTTCCTTATTATATTATGTTGTCGCTATTTGTCACAACACTACCGGTGCTGGGCCCAATATGTAAAATAGTAAGCTTATAATGTTATGTTTTTATAAAACGAATAATTTCATTATACCATCTAAAAATAAATTAAACGTAAAATGAATAATATTTTTACAAAGCATTTTTTTAAACTTTATTATATAGAAGATAAACTGTGACAAACAGCTGCACCACACCATACAAACGTAATTTAAATATAAACAAGAGCTAAAACAAAAATTGCATTATACGTAAAAAACAACCGCAGACAAAACTTGGGCCATCACTAGAATCGTACAACTAGAATAAAATAGATTTAATATAAAACAAATATTTTCAATATACCGTATTAATTTAAACTAAATAATATACCGTATTAATTTAGACTAAGTAGTAAAAGAATAAGTACAATTAAACGTATATTTTAATTTGAATATTAATTGAATATAAAATTAGTATATTGAATAGACCATATAAATTGACCTAAGTAGAAACTAAATTTGAAAAGAATTATTCTACCATTAATCGTATAAATTGAACTAAATTTGAAAAGAATTATTCTCTAATAACCATATATATTAAACTAAGTTTTTAACTACACCATATGTTCGTATTTAAATACACAAAAATTAGTCTTAAAAACAAATATAAAATTAAGTACTGCATTGAAACATATTGACTAAATATAAATTAAATATAACACGAAAAGCTCTACCTAGCCATGTCAATATGACCTTTTTGAACAATATTATGAAACACATCAATTCACAAGAAACAATATTTTGAACCACATCAGATCACAGAATCCATATAATTTTTAGTAGTACTCAATGTCTAATGAATCAAGTAATTTAGTCATATTATGTAAATTGTGTATCACATCATGCTTACCACAACAACGATGGCAAATGTTAATAATTGTTTTGGTTTTTTATATGTTTATCTTATAAATTCTTATAGGTTTGATTAAAGGTTTCATATTTTTTATCTGAAGCTGGAAGTGTTTAGGTTACATTAAAATAAACAAACCTATTATGGGTATCACTTTTTGAGAATATAAACTAAATTTAAAACGAATATTTCCATCATAAGGTTGCACATCTTTATAAACGAACTCAATAAAACGATCAACTGCACGAAACGGTATGAATTACAATCGAACCTGTACTAAGTTAAATGAAACTGGAATTAAGTAAAAACAATAATAAGAGTTGGAATTAAGTAAAAACAGTAACAAAAGTTGGAGTTAAAGTAAAACAATAATAGTTTGTAATACAATAAATCACTTCTCCTCTAAGGCAGATACGGCTAAATATTTTCCATTAGTGATTATACTTCATTATACTTATATTTAAAAAGAACTTAATAATATTGGAAGTAAACAACACTGAGAATTAGATTATTGACGAACACACAAATTCATACAAGAAAAGACATTAAATGACACATAGGGCTTTCATGTTTAGGACATTACAAACACAAACACAAAAACTTGCTGAGCGCTGAATCAACACTTACTTAAATCGAACTTTACCAACATTCACTTAACTCAAACGCAATCACTAAATAATACTCCCCTTCTAAACACCACCTCTCAATACTGGACATCTGTCCAAATATTATAATATATACTAGCACATTCTTGCACTTACATAAAATATTTCTTATTTCTCTTAAGACTATTACGACCTGATGGTTCCATATAAGTGGTGGAACTTTAATAGCTTCCACTGCGAAACAATAGCACAATAATAAATTTCGAAGTATAAAAATAAAAGTAAATGCAGTTTTAAGAATTATATTTGCATATACCCTCTGAAGTTACTTTAAAAATATTACAAAAATTATACAAACTAAGGTGCTGCATTATTCACTTGGAAGGAAACGGGTAATGCTAACATTAGCATGACATTACTAGTTATGTCATGCTAATGTTAGCATGACATTACTAGTAATAATAACCCTGAAAAAAAATTTCAAAAATATTAGAGTTTAAGGAGATAAATGCAGTTTTTTAAATTTTGTTGCAACTAGCCTAGGTCTTCCCTACACTGATAACCAATAATAAAAAACAATTTATACTATTTTACACACATATTTTCACACTTATTTGATTTAGACAGTTTTCCATAGTGTTATTTTTTAATTTAAACAATATTAAAGAAAATTTAAAGTAATTTTATTACAAATGGATGACCTTCTAAATGTTAACCTTTTACAAAACAGACCTGAGTAATTTTATGGTAAAACTATCAATTGGAAGATTACAATCCAAGGAAAAGCTCCTTCTACCCTTAACATATAAGTGAGGATTTTGAATTGAAGTTTTCCTTCAACACAGTTAAGAAACCTCACCTGCCCCAATTATTAATCCTTATATTACTAGCACAGAGGAAACTGATGTGGCGTTTCAAGGCTTATTACTTTCAACAAAAGATTCTCTGAGCAGAGAAAATAAAATACAAAATTAAAATTATATTTTTATATTATTTAAATTTAGTATTAACATCTTATGTGTATATTTACGTTAATATTTATTTAGATGTTTTGATAAATGCAGTTTACAAATTATTTTTTTTTTTCAGTTATATGACTATTTTATTATGATACTGTTATATCAATGTAATATAAATGCAGCTAGAGTAAGGAGAAATAACACATACAAGCTGGTTAAAAGCATAAAAGTTAAATGTAAATCAAATCTACTGGGTACAGCAAACTCTTATGCATTGAACATTAACTAAGTTGTATATTTTGTAAGTTGTATCTAGTGTGCATTTTTATTTCGATACTCTTTCTAAGTGTTGATTAGCTTTCTCCTCTGATAAACAGTTTTATTATCATAAACTACTTCTGAATTAAATAAAATAGTAAGCAACGGAGTCCAATTTTTAATAAATAAATACAAAATCTATTAACAATTTTAAATAAATAAACACAAACTAATGAGCAAAAAGTAAACAAAATCGAACTATTTTTCTTTATTTTTATGTTTAACGCCGAATATTTTTCTTATATTCCAATTTTGCGGATTTGCCTTTCTTTCAAAATAAGCGAATCAGATTGGCCAATTTTAATGGCTATTCTGTGCTTATAGTGGGTTTGTAAAGTCGCATACGGATTTCACTGTTTTGAACTTAGGCCAAACTTACGCCAAACTTTCGCAAAAAAAAAGTTTGCTGAATACGCACCCAGACCCTTTGTTGACGGAAATAATGGACAACCTCTAAAGGGAAATTCCTTAGCTGGGTAATCAGAAAATTAAGGCTAGGCGTGTCACTTAGGTCGGAGTTTTACATATAAAATTTTGACTTAAACTATGTGTTCTGTCTTCGATTTTGTATGCCACGTACGTCTTAAAATTAAGGTAAGAAGACCATTTCTATGAAGAAGCTGTAAATTGTTTGTAATGTTATATTTATAAATAATAGTAATTAAAAATTTTTAGTTGTTATATTAAAACATATTTTACAAAATTGCATTGGATAATAAAATTTTCCAGTAAAGTTTTCATAAATTGCTCGTCTACTAGGTCCTAATAGACGAGCTAGTTTTACTTTAGCTACGACTACTACTAGTCTAGAAGTGTGTATATATATATATATATATATATATATATATATATATATATATATATATATTATAAATATACATAACTTATATATATAATATATATATATATATATATATATATATATATATATATATATATATATAAGTATATATATAAATATAAATTTAGACTATATATAATACTTCCAATCTATTAAATAGTTTTTTTAATGCAATATTGGAAGTATTATATATAGTCTAAATTTATATATATATATATATATATATATATATATATATATATATATATTATAAATATACATAACTTATATATATAATATATATATATATATATATATATATATATATATATATATATATATATATATATATAAGTATATATATAAATATAAATTTAGACTATATATAATACTTCCAATCTATTAAATAGTTTTTTTAATGCAATATTGGAAGTATTATATATAGTCTAAATTTATATTTGTATATATATATATATATATATATATATATATACATATATATATATATATATATATATATATATATATATATATATATATATATATATATATATATATATATATGTATATATATATATATATATATATATATATATATATATATATATATATATATATATATATATTTATAACGAATTGTTTAAAAACAATGGTTTGCAAAATGGTTTTAAATCAGATGTAAAATACAAAGAAAATAAGTCTAAACAAATTTTTTTTCCAATGACAGACTTTTCTTGAAACCAGTAGATGTATAACAAAAATGAAATCATTAGAAATAGCACTTTGATTTTATGGTGTCAACATTAAATTTAATAAGGTTTTTAACGTTGTCATTTAAAACCTCACTTTATCTACAATGCATTACTTTTAATTTACATTTTTAAGATCAACAAGACTATTGGCAGATGTTTATTGAGCCTGCTGCGGAGGCAAAATTTAAATCATGGTAAAACCATAAAGGTGTTTTGCGCTGACAATAGCATTATTTAACCTAGATCATAATATAGAAATGGTAAAAAGTCCTGTATTATTATCCTGTAAAACAAAGGGAGGTCCTAAAAGATTTAAAAGCGGATAAAATCTTAAGTTATAATTTAAGTTCTTAAGTTATATTTCACCAGACTACTGGTTAATTTTTGATTTTCTAGGTCATAATTTGAAAAAATGATTACGGATGAGACTCCCTCAGACTTTTTGGATACAATGAATTCAAAAAATTTTAAAATCATTAGAAATTGCTAACAACTTATCAGAACTCACAGAAAAATTGTAAATCTATTGACCATAGTTTAATTTTATTCTCAAAACAAGAAATATATTCTTGTTTTTAATAATAAATTGCAGGGTAGGACATTCATTTTTTGAAACAATAAATTTCTTGTTTTATAAGTAATATGTTGAAATAAAAATTCAATTTGGCTGTGCTTACATTAAAATTTATTCAAGAAAATGTAGAGTGTGCAATGAGCGTGTAATGGAGAAGCTTCAGAAGTTACTTCAAATAAAAAGTTCTTGTAAAAAACCATTTAGAAAAAGAAGAAGAGTAGATTTAAGTAGCTAGCTACGGTGGCTTCTTTCTTGTTATAGAATAGTTATAATAATTTTAATTTTGATTCAATACCTAACTGTAAAATCTGAACATTGAAAATCTATTTAAAAATTATTTTTTTTTACATATTTTCTTGAGATATTTGTCTTCAGCTGAAAACATAAATGTATATAAATGTTTATTTTATATTTGCAACATTTTAATTCTAAATTCTGAAGCAAATTTGCTTTAGAAATAAGAGATCTGTGGCAAAGATGAATCAAGCATTTTTTGGTGTTTAAGATAGCTTACATGGAGCAAAATCCAAACATTTGTATGTATATACTTATGTCAAATAATGATAGTTTTTAAAAAATTGCAATAATTTGAGGCTGGGAACAAAAAAGCCTTAAAAAATTTATTCCTCTGGCCCCAAAAAAGAGAGCAACAAGTTGACGAAATAAATTATTTGCTATTTTTAACTTTATTTATATTCATTGATAAGTTTTAAGTATTATTTTACAATCTCTAATCATTCAAAAATTATGACCATATAAAATTTGTAACCCCTTTAAATTAAAACTTTAAATGGTCATAGTTTATGAACGCTGAGAGATAACAATATGAAACTTGAAAATTATTGATGAATATAAATTAAGTTAAGAATAACAAAAAAATTATTTCATCAAACTGTTGCTCTTGCTTTTGGAGCAGGGTGATAAAATTTAAGGGCTTTTTTGTCCCCAGCTTCCAATCATCGCAATATTTTGCAAAGCATCATTATTTGACATGAGAATAAACATACAAATGTTTGGAGTTTAGGCCATGTCTGTTAGCTATCTTAAACACCAAAAAATGTCTTATCCTTCACTGATCTGTGGTTTGATGTCTACTCTAGATTTTTTTTCGACATGAAGCAAGAGTAAAATTCCAAGTTAATTGAAGCAACAAGGTCGCTTCAATACATTTGAAATCAGAAAAAAATTGTATAAATATCTTGAACAGATTGATACGTTTTGATCTTGTTTAGTTTACAACAAAAGATCAAAAGTCCTTTAACCAATCCTCTAAGGAAACCATATTGGATTCGAATTTGTTTGATCCAAGGCTCTAATGGCAGTATTAAAAAAAAAAGCATCATCTGATAGCAAAATGAAGTAAAAATTATAAAGTTTGTCCTATAACTGGAAAAAGGCTCAGAGATCAACAAAAAATTACTTTACAGTAGCCATGGTGATAAATTATATTTCATAATCAGTGAAAGGTAGATGCAACATATTTCTTAAATTAATAAACAGTTATTTTTTTGGTTCAGGAACATATTGAGAAAATATCTTTGAACAAATTTACTGGATTTGGGATGAGAATCTATTTGCGCCAATGATTAGAAATTGCTTTAAATTGAATCAAAAATCATAAAAAGTATAACTTCCAACATTTGGGGCAAATACTTCTATCAAGAAAAATAAAAATAATTTTTTTTATCTAAATATGACCTCTACGCCACTCATTAGCCACTTTACATTAAAATTGGTTGTCAAAAAAAAAATTTGCTTCAATCGCTCCATTGGTTACCAATATGTCAAATAATAATTTACAAAATGTCTGTCATAATTTATAAAACTATATTAACCAAGTCTCCTGCATACCTTTTCAATTTCTTAAAAATTTAAACCTCCCAGTTCCCCAACACAAGATTGTCAGACAGTTGCCAACTTGTTTGTCGTCCAGCAAGAACATCGCTTAGTATAAAATCTTTTTGCACATCTGCACCACGAACTTGGAACAATTTAAGTAAAAAAACACATGATGCAATGTCCTTAAAAAAAGAAGACTAAAAACCGAACTTTTCTAAGCTGCTTACACGACCTAAAGAATGCTTGTTTATTAGTGCTTCTGAATCATTTCATCATATTTATGATTGTTGTCGAATTATGGCACTTTAATCTCTAATTATTATTATTATTATTATTATTATTATTATTATTATTATTATTATTATTATATATATATATATATATATATATATATATATATATATATATATATATATATATATATATATGTATATAAAATGTATATATATATCAGGCTTTCCCAGGAAAAGCGTGCGGTCGCACGCCTTGTTTGTCCACGCATAGAATAAATTTTTCTGACTAACTGACCACGTTTTATTATTATGCGTTTTAAGAATTCGCGCCAAAACAAAATACCGCAAAAATGCAAGCAATCTTAAAGTAAATAACAGAAATCTGTTTGTGCTTTAAAATTAAAAAATTAATGTATATTATTAAAAAAAAAATTTACCTATATTTTATTTATTTATTTTTTTAAGGTGGTAGTTATTTAAGCTATGAAAAATCAAATCAATAAGAAAAATCAAATCAAAAAGAAAAACAATAATGTTTAAAGAAAATAAAAGGACCTTTTAATGTAAAATTTGTTTATGACTTTCATCAGTCAGTAATACTTTAATATTCATGATAGAACTATAAACAATTTTTAAATATTTCGTAAATACATTTAAATGCTTAAATGTATTGATTTTAATGTTTGAATGTATTGATAAGCAAGAAAACACGAAAACGATTGCTATTTATTAGTAAAATATGTTTTTTTTTTTTTTTTTTTAATGAAAGAAAATTTTATTGTCAAACGATTGAGTTACTTATTTTGCAATCATTAATTGACATTGTGAACGAGTGTTAATATATAATAATGTCCCGAAGGAACTGTTTTCGTAACAATGACAACAGAAGCAATGCAATTATTTTTTTAACTTCTTTCGTAATTACAAAATTATGCAATTGAATAATTTCAATGTAATAAAAGGCGAGCATTGACTCAGTATAATCAGTTTAGAATAAGTCGAGAAAGAACTTTTTTCACATTAAAATTTTGTTATGTTTAAAATCTTAGATAATATATTTAATAATTAAAACAGCAATTTATTTTCTTGTCTAAGTATTGGGGAATAAAGTCATTGCCTTTGCATAAACCTTCGTAAAAACTAAATTAAATGAAAAAGT